CAACATCACGGAATTTGCGACATTTTGCGGTGCACAATTGTTTGCTAATCTATTTTAGTCTTTATCTAGTTTGTAGTTACTTGGCAATAATTAATATTTCAGTGACCAAGTGCCAAAGATAATATTATTTAAATAAAGCTCATTTTATTTCATTAAATGCCCTCTCGCAGTTTGCTTCATTTCGTTTATATTATTGTTGGATAACCTTGGATATTAATTTCAAATATTAATTCCTTGGCAACGATTATTTCAAAAACCAAAAGCCAAATATAATTCCATTTAAATAAAACTTGTTCAATTTTATTAACTGCCTACACTAATGGATTTATCCGATAGGTATTCACATTTTAAATATTGATTTCTCCGCGATTGTATTAAGAAATGCTTGATTTCGAGTCGTGAGTAAATCCCAAGTTCCGCACACCCTGTGCATTCGATCGGTTTTGGGGGTCAATCGATTCGCAAGTTGGAACCGGTCCAATCCTCGTGACACGGCGGAAACCGTTCTTCTGTATAACCGATTCCTCTCGCGGGTTTTCGCGTCCCATCGAGCGAACGGCGGAAGCTGCGGATAAAGCGGACGAAAACTCGATTTCGTTGAGTCGTACCCAAGGGCGGTCCCCAACATACACGGTGTTTCGAAGAATCAAATCAGACAGACGCTGTCTAAAGTAATTACACGAAGGGATGTATCTTTAAAAAAAAAAGACAGAAACATAGGCGTTTGATATTAGAGTGAAATGCTAAGCTTTTCTACAGTGTATAAGATCAAAATCACGAGACACGGTAGTGTCTCGCGCCAAGTGTAAGCGTAGCTAGTACACGCGTGCGAGACCGACCGTGTAAGTTTATTAATTAACATCGACTAATGGCGCATACTATTTGTAGGGTACCAGCGGCAACGTTGGGACTGCGGGTAGGTTGGGACATGACGTGTACAGCGTGACATTGTCATTGTAGAGCCGGCTTATCTTCCAAAATGAGTGTGTTTTAGCGCGCTGACGTTTTCAGTGTAGTATATGTGATGCTAGCGATTGGTTGTGTAATACAAACAGAAATTGTGCGATTTTTGGGTTTTCAAAATAATATTTCTGATATTTTCATTATTAACAGGTAAGTGTAATTGATGTATAAAAACGGGATTTCGACTTTGTAAGCAACATTGTGCGTCTACCAATCGATTTACACTGTTTGTTGATGAAAAAGTACGATTGTACTTGAGCCCACGTGCTTCTCATACAATCAGTGCTAGCGGGTACGTTGGGACATATTGGTGTGGGCAGGTTGGGACATTGCGAAAACCGTACAAATTTAACATTTATGCTGTTAGTCGGTGTTTTTAAGAGTACCTGATTACCTAATTAGGTAAATATCAAAGAAAGTCGAGTCGAGGAATTACTGACTACAACGCATTATTAACCGTTATTAAGGCAATAATTATCGAGGGGAAAAATTCCATTGCCTGCATTGAATGTAAACGCGAAGTACACTTGAAATGCGCGAATATGACTAGATCGTACTTTATATGCCACAACTGCGAATCTGATTAATATTTTCAACTCAGTTTTACTTCACTTGCTTCTCTTTTCAATTTACAGACAATAAACATGGGTTTTTAGCCAAAACAGGTGCAATGTTTTTCATTTTTGTAATGTAAAATAAAATATCCCAACGTACCCGCATGTGTGGGTACGTTGGGTTATTTTCGACTTTTACTAAATTGACTATAACTTTGTTGGAATTTGATGAAATCGCATGATTTCTTCGCTAAAAATGTACTCAAGGAAATTATCTATTCGCCTAAGGCATTTGTTTTTATTGTATAAGCGAAAATAGTTTAGAATTCCCATTTTTGAAAACTAGTCCCAACGTTGCCGCTGTTCCCCTACTATTTCTAGATGTTAAGAAAGAGTATGTACTTTAATTAATTTACATGTGAAATTTATCTGAGGGTTGCTGCTATTGCATTTAATAGCATTATATTATTACGCAATTTCTAAATTAATATTGCAATAGTATTAGGTTATATATTATTCACACAAAAAAACACACAAAGTATCTGTTGTTGTTCGTTGCTTCGTAAAATACAACTGACATTGTATTAATAAACATGGTCCATAGATTACTGGGTAATACGAAAATGGAAATTGTTCAGGAATTCTTGTGCTGGGTATATTTTGCGACTGCAGTGGCGCACGTGTGGAATAATCTTCTCGTATTATTACCCCAAAGAGTAAGGTTGAGGAGCGACTTGAAACGTGTAACGGAGAGATCGTCGCTCGTTTAGCCAGTCTCTATCTCTTTCTCTGCCCCGAGAGAAAGGGGGGGAGGGAGCTCGAGATCGTAGATTTCGCTTTTGGCTTGATTACGCGATAAAACACGTCGTGAACGAAGGGAATATCTCTTCGATGTTCAGAGTCGAGCGCCATGAATAAAGTGCATCGGAACGACTCTTCGAATCGAATTTCCTGTCCAAGATCCGTTTGTTTATCACGTATCGTCCCGCCGTCGATTCGTCCATTAAAACAAAGTCGCAATAAAAGGTATATTCGTTTCCTCGTCCACCCTTCCTTTCCCTATGCGCGCAATATCGCCAAATCGAAATGGCTCGTAAATCGCCGATCGGAAGCATAAAAAAAAGGAACGTGTCGAAAGTGAAAAGCGAATTTAGCTGGTTGGAACAGCGATACGTATTCTGATGAAGAAATAATTGTTTATCTGAAAACTGTCATTATCATTGCTCCGTTTTCATTTTCAAATCTAATTCGTTCGCTCTTCGCAACCACTAAGAATTCGCGGCTATTAAATAATTGATAAATTTTTTGTTGAGGAAAAATTAAGGTAACGTCTATCCTCGACTCTGTTTTTTTTTCTCTCCTAAGTTCCGTCGGAAAATTGGCGATTGAAATTACACGCGTCAAATTACGGATATCCAGTATGGTTTTCTGCTTATCGCGCTTTTGTTAAAAGGGTTTTGGAGAAACGCTTCGAATTGGACGTGACTCGGACTTTTGTTCGATAATGTACCGTCGCCGAAAATCGAAGTCTGGCCCGACTCGGTGCCCCCGCACTGGGTTGTCTGTGATGCTCGACGTTTAATTGAATCTGCTTGCGACAAGGGACGCGATCACATCGCCCAATAGGACGCGTTCATGTTTCGCGAGAGAATCGCATTAGTCCGGGCGTGCTCGAGATGCGGGGCCGGTACCTTTTTAAAGCAAAACGAAAATCGAACCCCGCGCTCCGGTCATCATTTATTTTTCAACGACCGATCTCGCGGTATTAAATATGCAGAAATAAATGTAAATCCCTGTAGGCCTTCCAATTTAAATATTTAAGATTTAGAATTCACATTTTGATGAAAGTAGCGCAGAAATTTCCTGGCTTTTTGTACGTGTCTTTTTTTCCGTCGAAAAAGGGTGATAGGAAACTCGACCGGTATATACTGCGGAAAGTTCTAATATACGCAACGTTAGGAATTTATATATTCAGCTCATGTCAAAGCATGAATATTCGTATTTTTTTTTTATTCCCTCTAAATTTATTGGAGATACGTGGAAGACTTCGTGTAATCTACCAGAAGTAGGAGGTAAAGGCCATTTGACTGGCAAATAAATTTTATTGACTCTGTATGGATGGTTCTGTGTGACTCGTGTTGTTTGTATAAATCCGGGGGATTTATCGCGCGTTTACTTTTCTCTGTTCAAAATACAGGTCGTCGTGTAGGCGGTACTGGGGAAAAAATAGCAAGCCTGCATTGTCATTACGATCTTTACGATCGTTTTTTTTTTCGCCCACCGTCGCTGCACTTTAATCTCCGACCATTATCATATCGCTCGCATTACAGCTACAATTTACCCCGTTTTACTGTAAATGAGTCATCGCTCTGCTCTCGAATCGATATATAAATACAAAGTTTGACATCGGTTTCCACTTTAAATTAATTCGAAAAATACGACATTTAATCTTAATTTCAATTTAAATTGAAAAAAAATAAAAAAGATTCTTCCTTTCCTACTTTCTTTGAAGTAATTCCGCGAGACATATAATTTTCACGAATTCCTCCTCGTCGAATTCAACATCATGTTTTAGTTCGTCACTTTAAGCAATTTTTACATCGCGAGTCTTGAACCCGGTTTGTGCTTTATTAAAATCTTTCTCTCCCACATGCGCGCCCAAGCTGGTTATCTCGCTGCTGTATTACGCGGCGTTATTTCGCGCGAGTCATGCCATGCGAAAGTGGCATAATAATGCGACGATAGCGCGCATTTATAACTGCTATTTATTCGCAGTTTTTCCCGCCGGTGGAACCACCTCGTCCTTCGGACATTGCCCATGGCATTATTCTATCCTCCAGTCCACAGTTTCATATTCTAGTCGCACAAATTAACGACGTAATGATATATAAAGAAAGAACGTCTCTCGATCAGCTATTATGGAACTTAACACAATCGAATCGTAAATCGAATTAACATAAATTAATAAATTAATTTCCCCTCTTGTAAGATAAATAATTCTTGTCGTTCTCTACATTTCAATATTTCAGATATACGATAAAATGTTCGTTCTATGGATTTCATTTTATCGTATATTATATATTTTATCAATATTTTTAGATGATATAATTTATTACGTAATGAAATATTTTGTGCAAAAGTAATGATTTCTATATTGCACTCTCAGGAGATTCACGTATATCAAAATATCTTACGATAAAAAAATACTGATAAGATAAAAATTAATGATAGAAAATAATTTCTTCTATCTTTCCAAAAAACCTTGACTCTGCGACAGAATTTGTATATGTTCACCGACAGAGTTAAATTTATCAATAGCCGTAAAGTATGATTATAAATGAATAACAGAAGATATGCGTTGCTTAAGCGTCTTGTTTGTATTATATTTGTATAATGCCATAAACAAAGATACTTTATATATTTGCGTGTTTATCTTTTTCATCACTCGCATTTCATTCATTTTGCATTTCTTTGTTGTTTCAGGTAGAAGAAAGATTGCATCTGAGGCACGTAAACGCTTTTCTTCCTTATTAAAGTGAGTAGAGTTTCTTCATGTTACTTTTATCAAACTTTTACCAAGGTTCTCGCATAAACTTGAAATACCTAAATTCGGACATATTTTTTTCGTCGAAGAAAAATAAATAGCAATTAAATAATTATAACATTCGTAACAATAATTGTTATAATTATTATCACAATTATAATTGTAGATTTAACAATTATAACAAGAACTATTACAATTATTTCATTGTTATAATTACAACAATAATTAATTAAATAATTTATACCTCTTCCATAACGTTAATTTACATAGATATAATTGCTAAAATCATACTTAAAAATAAAAAGACACGATAGATTATTTAGAACATTTATTAAACAAGGGAAAACCAGATATACGTTTATAGTGAAACTTTTTACTGTGCGAAAAGTTTAAGAGTTAAAAAACAATCTGACAGTGAAACATAGCGGTAAAATTGACAGTTATGAAGGAAAAATTCCGGCAAACTTCTCTTCGAAAGTACATTGAGTTTCTCATGTCGGGTTTCGGTCAGGCATAGAATTTCGTCTCATTTCTCACACGATCTTTTTCATGTTTTGCTTATATCGGTTCGGCGAGCGTCCGCCGTGTCTCGGATTGCGAGGGGAATCGTCGCCAGGAAAACGACGATTGATACGATGAAATCTTCAATAAGAACCCAATCTCCGAAATGGCACGGCGAAGTTCGCGCGATCGCGACGAGTGCTTTCTTAATACCTGTCCGACGGTTTTCGCCAGGACGGGGAACTTTTCGTCCCGTTTTTCGCTTTTTTTCCCCCCCTCGTCTTCCTTTTACCCGACCGACGAAAGTCGTCTTGGAGAAAATCCAGGCCCGATTGTAGTACGGTCGGCCCATTCGAACGAATCTGCTCGTTCCAATTCCCCATTCTGTCTGCGCGTAATAGTCCGACTCTGTTCCGATAGAAATCACCCCGTACATATCGCCGGGCGAAAAATAGCCCGGGCCGGCAATGCGAACTGCTGATAACGAGCAGTTAATTCGCCTTTGAATCTGAGTGAACTCGCAAACTGTTTTCTTCCTTATCAGTGCTGTAAATAATGTCGATCATGTTTATTCAGTGGATATGAATATATTTTGACAATATCATACTTGTGTGTCACTTAAAAATATGCGATAAACACTTTCTGGACGTTAAAATAATCCGCGGCAAAACATTTGAAAATTCATGCTACACGGAGAGAATGGTCTCTTAAGGTGGTTGTTTCGCGACGGTAATGCTTGAAAGTTTATTCCAGACAGGAACAAGCACTCAATTATTACAATGATATACTTGATGCAATATTGTTTTAAAGAATACACTTACGATTAATACATAATATAAAATAGATTCGAAAGATTATAGTTTGAGGCGTTGTTACCACATCTCTTACACTACACTCATGTTTACTACGTAATTCTTCCCATTTTTCAGTTTTAACTGTTTATATTGTTGAAACGGAGCGGTCAATCGTTTTGATTTTTTTCCAGTTATTCCTATTTTACCTTATAACATATTTGTTTCTCATACAAATCTTACTCACCGTTAAGGTGGTTCTTGCAGGACTTTGAAGTCACAAAAGCAACTATTATTACTAATGACAAATATAAATGATTTAGTATGTAAAAATCAGCATACACTTAAATTAATTATTCCGTAAGGTTTTTTCTCATTGAACCGTCGGTATAAACTGAAAATATCAGAGCGAAGTCACAAATTTGACTAGAGTTGGAACCATACATTTGGCAACGTCGCAATTTTAATGACAGGATGACAGCCGGTGTATCGATAGTGAATATATTCATACAACTGCCGAAAAAGATATATTATCTTTATAACATCCATTAAACCTCCATTCAACGGTGGGAGAATGGTAGGACACGCGCCTTGTGCTTATGCATCAGCTGACGCGTGCGACGTTGCCAAGCTGCCACTCAAGACGG